TTCGTATATCATTCGTTTTTGAGTGCCTCTAAAACTTGTTTTTACATTACTGCGATTTCTCATCATTGTACACAAAACCTACAAATTGTGTTTTGTTAATATTCAGCTCAATGTATGGCGTGTATGATTATATGGAGTTACTGTATAGTGCATTGCTCTTCTGTATTTGTGTTTGTATTAGTCATTTCTATCCAGTGTGCCAGCACCAAGACCGCAAGGTTGTTCCTGTGCACTATAATAAACATTGAGTGATTAAATGATTATTAATATTAATAATAATATTATTATTTTATATGTCAAAAACTTACATAATTTAGTTTGTTTTACGCATTGGGAGCGCGCAACAGTAAAGCGTACTAAGGCTGCAAGATAGGAAGAAACGTACCGCTGCAATAGGATCATTGCCGATGCTGTATGCAGACACTTCACATCTGGCTGCCGGGAACGACGTCCTCGGGTTGTATTGCGCCAGAATGAAGAGATCTACTTACTAGTTGTCAGGTTCCCAACTAACCTATCACTTTAGGTAGTCCCTATCAATTCATAACTATAGATACTAACCGCCCATTAAAAAATCTTACACCCTTAAGGGTACCAATGATATTGCAGAAGGGCTTACACCATGAGGGTGCTTCATACGGCGCTGGTGCACGACCTAAAATAAGAGTGCTTTAGGCCCAAGCAGCATCCTTGGTTCTTATTTACGAGCAACAAGTTGACGAGCTATACGCAACGCATACAGCTGTAGCATGCACAGGAACAACAAACACAAATGCAACGATGCACGCGCGAGACCGAAACCACTGTTCTGTTGACTGAGCCACTCGCTTAAACACACCGAAATTTAAAGGCACTCTCTCCATTTCATTTAGTTCATTTTTATCTCATTAATTATAATGTGAGTAAATCAGCTACTACTAGGATGCTCCTTCTTCATATTTAAAAACATGAGACTCGTAACAGATAAGAAAAAAAAACGCAAACACAGACTTTAATTGGAGATAGTGTGCATGCATGAAATGAGTGATAAGGCGCAGGCGAGCTGGTTTACGCTCATGATTTAAGACAACTTCGTCGAGTTTGTCCTTTTTGTTTCGCCCGTCTCAGGGTTGTCTTAACTCGTGTATGCTTCTCCCTTTTTAATTCTTTTAGGGAGGTAATTTACGAACTTGCTTGCGTTTTTAGCTTTCTATGTTACTGGTTAATTTTCTTATCGATATTTTATGCAAAGTGTAATTTTACAAGGTTCACGGATTGCATCTCTAACTAATAAGGTTTGATCAAAACCATAACTCGACCTGTGAAAAAACGAATTCCTTCCAAAAACATATGGACCGGGATGTCGTAGCAGTCCATAACAGAACCACTTTCTGTCGCCTTTAACACCCTCCGAGAAATAAAGGGTGTTCCTTGAAACATCACCCAACTTTACTATTATAAAGGAGCTACGCTCACATAAGCATTCCTTAATGATATAGCCGTAGGTAGAGTTTTTTAAACGCTTTCGTTTCACCCTATAGGGTGAATAGTTTTAAGTGTAGAAACTATCCAATCATCAATGCCTAGCTCTGTATGTAGAAAAAGACTCTTGGAGTTGATTTATGTACTTGGGGGCTAATCCTTGTGTTAAGTTTATTAAATAAATGAAATGTTTCATTATAGCCTTCGAATTAGTAAAAAGAAACATACGGTTTAAATTAGAAACTTTATGAGTGTCATTCAAAACCGCAAAACATTCAATGTAAAATACTCGAAGCATAAGCGAAGCGCGGAGTTCCACTAAATTTACCCACTCGTGCCACTGGCACAAGGCTAGCGGTAGTTAAACACGAATGATAGTTTTTCGCACTGGGAGTGTTGTTGTAGAAGTGGTCATTCTATAGCACCACAGCGCTTTTCGCGCGCTCTAAGTCTTTCTAAAATGGCATTCGAAAACGCTCAGCCTGCTTATATTTGAAACATGTGTTGACTTGGAATCATTTAGCTATTAGACTTATCTTGACAAGGGGCCCAGTATTATGCCCCACCCGGTTCTATCACTCACCTGCACAAACCGTATTCGTGTACCCTTCACATAAAATCAAACATCTTGTATCTGTACCATCGGGAAAAAGTGAAATGCGAACAGAGGATCCCGTGGCTCGCGGTACAGGCTGCGTCGCCTGAAAGTGAGCCTAGGGGCGAGGGTGCGTGGCCTATGTCGATGTGTTTACGCCCCTCGCTCGGCGCTCCCCAAGCATCGGCAGTGCGCCTCTTAGTGCGCTGAAAGCTATCACCGCTGTCTTTGCTCGCTCGGCACGCGCGGCGCAAGGAAGCTCGGGGCTATAATATGCTAGTAGCAGCTAAAGCACGCGCAGGGTTACCCCCCCCCCCCCCCTCTTTCTCTCCAAAAGAAAAAAAAAGGTGCGCGCGTTTCAGCTGATACTAGCGGCGAGAGCTTCCTCGCGCCGAACGCGCCGAGCGAGCAAAGATAGTGGTGATAACTTTCAGCGCACTAACAGGCGCGATGCACGAAGCTTGGGGAGCGTCGAGCGAAGGGTGTGAACACATCGGAGTAGGCCACGCACACTCGCCGCTAGGCTCACCTCCAGGCGGCGCAGCCTGTAGAGCGAGCCACGCGCTCCCTTGTTCGCATTTCATTTTTCCCTGATAGTACATGAATGGCAAGCGCAAAGCTAAATGGGTTTCATTTTAAGGCGGACGCCTTACTTGTCCAATGGAGCGAAAGAAAAGCGTATATGGCTATGAAAATGCGATTGAGCGGCACGCGCCGCTGAATCGTATGTTCAAAGACGACACTGACCTTGGCGTCGTCCTTGAGGTCGTCCTAAAGGTCGTCCTAGATTTCCAGGACGACATTAGTTGTCTCATTACTCGAAAAAGCGGCGTCGTTGTGCCCGAAAGACGGCCATAAAAATAGTTCATCAAAGACGCGCTGCTCTCGATCACTCTCAAGTGCGGGAGCGTGATGTCCCCGCCGGGGCACCGTATGCAAATGGTGCTCCTCGGGCTTCATCTGTGCTCGTTATGTGCTTCGCGCGATGGACTGTGAGGCGACCAGGTCTACATCTACGGCCTCGACATCGGTAGCAGCGTCGACATCCACGGCGGTTTCCGCAGGCAAACGTGGGCGCCCGCAAGAATACGCCACAGCTTCCTTATGTGTCCTACCCCAGACGTCGTTCTAGGCGTCGTCCAAGACGTCGTCCTTGAGGTTATCGAGAGGTCGTCCTCGGCGTCTTCCTACACGCCATTTATGACGTCGTCCTAGACGTCGTATTTGGCGTTGATCTCTAGGACGTCGTACTCGACGTCGTCCTAATGTCATCCTATGCGTCGTCCTATACGTCGTCCTAAACTTTCATACCTGTTGAAATATTACACGAAAGCGTTGCTCCCGTGGGTCTAATGCTTTCGCCTTCCTACACGTAGCAGTCGTGAGCGTCCTCCTGTAATTTTTTTATTCAGCTATTTACTAACATCTTCGCTTTCAATAGTTTATATATAGAAACATATAGAAGCTATTTAACTGTTATATAACACTACACTTTACAAAAAGCCCGTGCGTTTACTTTCCCGAACAACACTTGCAGAGCCAATCACCACAACGTACGGAGGCAGCTCACCGAATGACAATGCCGAAATAGATGTTGAGACAAAAAAACGCAGTCTGAGATGCCATCTTATGCAATGCAAAAAGTCACGCTTGCGTTGTTTAATATCACAACTCCAACTGCGTTTTTTGGTCCAACATATGTTTCGGCATCGTCATTCGCTGAGCTACTTCCGTAAATTGCGGTGATTAGCTCTCTGAGTGTTGTGCTGAAAAGTCGATGCACGGGCTTTTTTTTAGAGTGTACTAGTATAAGCCTCTAACATGCATGTGTTGTTGTTTTCATAATACGTGAAACTTATTGGAAAAAAGCATTAATTAGGATGATCCTATGTTTCAAGTTAAATACCAAATTCAGTTTAAATAAAAACAAATTCTGTGCAGCGCCGTATTTTAACTTTATTATTAGATAAAAACATTGTACTTAAGACGCTGTTTATACGTTAATACTGAAGAGAGAGCACTGCAAATTGGACGCTTAGAACATATTGCCCAATAGTTTTTTCATTTTTTTTTTTAAATATACGCTGTACTGTATGCCGTGGGGTTTAGGCAGCGAGTCTAAAACGGTATACGAATTAAACATTTTCAGACTTTTGGCCTCAATTGGATGTTATACCTTTCTTTGGCACAATATTGTATCAAATATTTTTCAACGGTGTTCGAATTTGCCGGAAAAAAAAAAACAAAAAAACTTTAGACGTCCGGCCCAGAGCTTTGGCGCAATGCATCTATCGTTTTGCATTTGCTGCAAGGGCTCCGGGGAGCATCAACGAGTGCGAGCGAGGGCGAGCTAGCGCGAGTGTGCACGCTCGCTGGTCCATCGGCTCTGTGACGCTCTCATTGGCTGGGTTTACATGAATGCGATTATAGCGCATCGAATCGAGCAGGGTTAATCACACGCACCCCGTCCTCCTACTTCTTCCCTTAGTGCCCATCTACTACCGATCAAAATGGTCAAATCATGATTCCATGCGCTACGGTCGCATCCATGTAAAGGCAGCCATTGTAAAATTTGGAGCGCAAATGCTTTATTCTTGTCAGTGGCAAGCAGGCATCAACAGCTATGACTGTACAAATTTATGCAATTTTGTGACATTGATTTAACTCTCTTAATATGGTGCTAATAGTTCAGTGTAAACAAATAAATAACGAAAAATACGAAGGGATTTAGGTAAAATATAGCTAAAACCTCATTTTGCTTAGAAGAGACTGACAAGGCTTTTACGTCAAACGAGAATCAGCGCCAGTGTTCATATAGTATTGAGGTAATAAACATTTACCGAGCTATATCTAAAGTAATGCATACCGATTTTGACGCTTTTTTCTAGATTTCAAACCGAAAATACGCTCATTACGCACAATGGAATGATAATGTTACACTTACATGCACGGCATGTTTAGAGGCACAGTATGCCGACGCATTGATGATACCTGTTTGAAACAAACATAAAAAAACTGCTGAGTTTCTTGTAGACGTTTATGCCAACTGGTGTTTTCCAGATAAACGCTACAGTCTTTAACCTAACAAATATTGTAATGGCTCAAGTTCATTATCACCCTCCTCCACATCACCATTATGCGCGATTGTGAATGACAATGATAAGGTGGATGACGGTGATTGTGAACTTGTTCCATTAAAATGTATTTAAAACGTTTCACTTTTGCATAATAAAGGCAAACCTTTCGCAAAATGCTGCGTGGTTTAAAGAGTTTCTTTTTTATGGTTGTTTCAGCATAAAGGTAATTACTTTTGTTGCAAGCTAAATGGCAGCAATGTGTTTCTTAAGCACAAGGACCGCAACACAGTTTGTCCTTATAGTTTCATCCGCCAGTATTTTAGGTGAATTAACTGTTGTTTCGCATGAATTCAGTCGTGGGCTGCAAAAATCATACTAATGGACCATGGCATGGTTAGTGAAACGGCAGTCGGAAGCAAACACGACTACACTCATCAACCTGCATGTGAGTATGTACATTATCTTAGAGTCACCGACAGCTTTAGAAACGCAGTGTGTGGCTGTTCAGAACATCGTATTATCGCAGCCAATCAGGTTTCAGAATTCGCTGGATGCCGAAGAAGCAACCATAAAGTAAAAAGAGTGAACATAATAAGTCAATCCCGGAACTTTCCTAAAGGTGTCGGGGATTTTTTATGTAACGTTTGTTTCGGTGCGCTTTGCGATCAGTCCAAATACGCAGATCAGTGAACGGTCAAAAAGAAGATGTGGTTATAATACCATCGTTTACCAACTTCCCCATATGCGTTATGCAATGAAATGCCACTCGTATCTGTCTTGAAGCGGGCCATTCATCGAAAACCATATGTTAAAGGCAACTTTTAAAGGAGCAAAAGGCCAACCTATTAACTTGGCGACGTCTGTATATTGTCAGGAATTAATATTGATGAGGCGACGAAAACTGAAGCAAACTTAACGTATAATGGGACGAACTTGTACCCAAAACAAAATTGAAAAAGGCTAGCGTAGCGGGCGTCGATGGCGGCGAAACAGCAGGATCGAAGGCTGGGGAGGAACTGATTCCCGCTCGCCCCGCGGAGCACCTTTTGAACCCGCGTGGGTTTCTGAAACATTCGGCGTAGGACGTTCGGCGCGTAGAACATTCGTAGCTCGATCAAACGAGAAGGTTCGCGAACTTACGAGAACCACAAGTAGAAAGAATAAATAAAGAACATTCCGATCCCTGGAACCGAACCTGGATCGTTGATACGACAGCCAAGCACGGTAAGCATTAGGCCACGCACGCGCTCGCTGGGCGAAGCGCGTGTCAAAACGTACAGTAAACGTCGAAAACAATATTATTTTAGTTGCCAGCACCAAACGCACAAGCACAGTTACCTAGACCGGCACCATGGGCAATAAATGCATCGCTTATTTATCTATACTGAAAAAATAAGCAATAAGCGGGTTTTGTTGTCAAGTTTAAATCATTAAACCTGTATTCCAAAGTATGCTTACAAAGCAAGAATGGTTTTAGGCAGTGCATCTTTTTTTTTATCCGTCGAACCGACCAAAGCTGAAGATATACTAAAAAGTCAAATAATTTTTCACTATGAGATTCGAGTTTTTCTAGTTATTACTTTGATCGAAAACATTAACCTTCAATTTTTTAAAACAATGCGTACGAGTCTTTTTTGTTCGAGGCTCACAGCAACGATACAACCACATCAGTGTTTCACACCATCTGAGGCTCGAAGTTTTTTTTTTTACCAGCCAATGTTATCGCCCTCGCAGGGCATAGAAATGTGCATCACGTGCGACTCGTGATTACTTGTGCCAGCGCTTGGAGACTAAATGTGAGCACTCAAAAGTTTCAGACAACATCGGCCTGATAACTGCTTCTGATGTTTACGGCGCATAAAAAGAGTGTGGCCTAATTGGCACCCTATAGACAGGCAGTTCAGTTCATTCACAGTCACTAATCAACATGTGGCGTAACGCATTCTAGCATTCGACGAGTCTTATTCGTCAGAAGTAGCGCAAGGAACTAAATTTTCGATTAGCTTTATCCTCATGGCCGAACTATTTTTTATTGGTCGATATATGGACGATGTGATTGGTCCACCAACTTCAATTATCTTCCACCCAATAAAGGACAAAGGGTCATTGGTTTGCAGAGTATCGCCCTTTGTCATTTCCATATCTAAACGCAAAGCATCGGTAGCCTGACGTTTGTCAAATTTGTTGTTTTGTCTCTCCACCGAGGACTTGCCTATTACCGAGAACTGACCGATGGCCGAGCATTATCCGATGAAGTGACCGACGTTTCTGCTACACGTGTTATTAGCCGTAGACTTATGCTCTAGGGTAAAAGCAGTTGCACGAAGCTGTGGCAATACGTTATCAGCAAATCGTAGTCAATTTTTTATTCAAGTTTCGCCCAGAGGCATTCACTAGAGAAGAGATGTTCCTCGCTTCTGCGTTCGCAGAAAGACAAGGTAATCAACTGGTATCGCCGGGTAATTAGTTTAAAAATCATTGTAATATTGTTTACATAGAGGTTTCACCTGATGCACTGTTGGATTGCACACTTGCGAGAACCCACACATATGAACGGGATCAAGCATTGCCACAGGCACTTTTTAAACGCACATGCAGTGTAATTCAGCCAGCTCAACAACCATGTCACCGACTCATAATGCAATTAAAACAGATACTTTACGAAAATTGCTTGACTGTACGAATTGTAGACAATATAAAAAATTGTGATGGGATGTAAAAACTTGATTGTCCTCACTTGTGCAACTATTTTTCGCTTGTACCTATCAGCAACCCAAGTGAATTTGCACTGAATGTCCTCAACTCTGTAGTTTAATACGCTCGTTGCTCTGCCATTGTTTATGCCACGATACACAGCCAAGTGTTTTAGGAGAAAACTCCAGTAAGAAATGTGTGTTCGTATCACCTGTCCTTCCCGCCATGCTGCTGGTGACGACCACTTGGCCCCGATGCTGCCGCTGCTTGAAGTGCCGCACGACCAGTCGAGCGAGAGATACCGGGCCGAACACGTTCACGTCGAAAAGATCCCTCTCGAACTCTTGAGATGAATCACTCTCGAACATTCCATTTCGGCAGAGTCCCGCGTTGTTCACCAGCACGTCAACCTAGCATAAAAACAGAGCACTGCTTTTGACGTAGGGGACGCCATGTGAGACCTAAGGGAAAAGTTAGGAGCACCAACCTTCATGAAGAAATATGCTTGACATTCGTTTTTTTTTTTAAATAGTGTTTTTTTTTTATATAAGTGTTATACAATTTAAATTTAGATGCTTTCTTCAAGCCCGACATTATAATATTAATTGGTAAAATCGCGTTTCTTCATTATATTGGGCAGGAATTGAGGATATTGCTACAGTTGTCCATAGCACTCATTGCAAAGAAATATGTCGGAAATACGTAGTTGGGCTGGTTGGTGAACGTTATGAAGCATAGTGTAAAGCGCAAGAAGACAACGGACACGAGGAAGAAGACACACACAGGCGCCACTTACAACGATATTTGAAAAGTGCAGAAAATAAAGAAATACATATCCCGTACCTTACTTACGTCCCCGCATACGCTTGACCTGGTGTTACACACCAGAAAGTTCTCAAGATTTTTATCTCCGCATTATACGGTGCAATAGATGTATACACTCCGTGCGGGAACTATAGGGGTCGCTTTGAAAAACGCGCGCAGCGCCGCTAGCGGAGGAGCTGGCGTTCGACCGTGAGGCGCGTTCAGCAGCCTGCGGCGCCTTTTCGCATGCCAAGCTGTGGCGGCGGAAGCGCGTACGGACGAAACTTTTGCTTTTTGAGCCGATACGTTGAGGGTGACGTTGCATGAGTGCTGGGGCAGAAGGGCATTTAGCTGTTCTCCACTTCTTATATATTGAGTTTGAGTCGTTATTAGGGGTAATTTCTCTAGTTGCGGCCAAAAAAGGAGTTGAAGCAATTTTCTGAAAAGCAAGACGGCCGCCACCATAATTGTTTTGAGTGGGAAATTTATTTCGCTCGTCGCTGTAAACGTAGGACTGCTGGAACGATGATATTGGAGGCGAGTGAGATGTACACTAAATTTCTGCACGAAGTGTGCCAAGTTTCATCAAGACGGCAGGTGTGAAAGTTGTTTCTAACGAATAAAGAAATAAGGCTGTACGGTATATCCAATATTGGACCCAAAACGTTGTGTTAGAGCGGGCTGTGCAAAGTGCAGATTTGGGCACACAGGTGCTTGGACTTGACAGTAACATGACACAACCCTTATTATTCAAAAAAAAAGTGGCATAAGGAAATCAGGTGAAAATTTAGTTTGGGCGGCGTAACTCAATGGGAACCGGTTTTGGCCATGAAAAGGCTGTCAAGAGAATACCACTGGTCGGGGGAGGTGGAGACTTTAGAGGTAGGAAGGGGCTAGTGGACTGTACTTCCAATTGAAACAACTTTACGAAAGGTGGTTCCAAAGCCGAGAAAACAAAGTTGTCGGCCAACACACGGTTTGGCCGCCAAGAACCTTTGCGGTCAGCTGTTGTGTAATAACCAGTTGTGCGAGGTGCTGATTTTCGGCCCACAGGTACTTTGACATGACCGTCACTTGGCACAACACTTATTATAACAAAAATAGTTGGCATAGCGAAACCAGGTGGAAATTTAGTTTGGGCGGCGTAACTAAATGGGAACTGGCTTTGACCGTCAAAGGCTGTCAGAAAATACCACTCATCGTGGGAGGTGCACACTTTACAGTAGGAAGGGACCAGTGGACGGTACTTCCAGTTCGAACCACTTTGCGATAGGTGACTTTAAAGCCGAGAAAAAAATTGTTGTCTACAGAACTCGGGGTGTCAGTGTTTCCACATCTAAAAGGAGGCTGATCAGGAAAGAAAGCACACCACATAAACTTCCATACTCAAACGTCGATTCTCCAGTGATTCCGAGTTTCATGGTTGTTTTCTTTAGACTTATATTTGTCACTTTTTTTACCGTTCGAATCTTTCTTCGTAAAGTACAGATTCCGTGCCATATTTGTGCGGAATTATCATCGACTCGTACGATGGGGACGAAACTTCTTTGGAGGGCATTCCTCCAACGAAATCGGCACTGCATACCCGCGAGTGTGGGATGGCATTTCAGTTCGTCCCATCGGCGCTGACAGATGTAGGTGTTACTGGTACGAAAACAAACGCAGAGCGCAAAGCGGCAGTGTAGAATATGTCAGCCGTGCCGACACAGTGGCAGACATGATCGGGACACCAAATTTCTCGCGTCGTATGGCACGGCTCCATCGTTGTCGCTGTCCCAGAAAACATCGGCGAGGTGAAAAACTGTGAAACTTTGTCACCACGAGATACGACGCATAACTATTGAAGCACTTAATGACGCAGCACAGGCTGCGTCATTAAGCTGTGAACCCAGCGCAACAGCACCACTCCGACTTCAACGCGTACCAACGTACGCGGCGTGGTTTCGGTTTCGTTTTCTCTGGGGTGCTCACTGCCTACCTTCGGTACCGGCCGCGCGGCGGCGCGCCAGTCGCGTCGCACGGAGTGTATAGCTTACGCATTGTGCACCCCTTTTCCTGATAAAGCATGCTTCAATTAACTCGCGCGCTTTCCGGCTCTTTCCCTTACCCGGAATCGTTGTCTGAGAAAGGCGCGGTTCACATTTACATTTCCTGCAGACTTCAGGTAAATGTGCCCCATCATTCCTCTAAATTTTCCCCGTGCTCCTTTAGTCGGTCATTCGCACATCTTCCCGTTTGTCTTGCGCAGGACTTTCCACACGTAAGGGGATTTCGTATAGCACACCCGTGACGCATTCAACATACGGCCTGACATGCTTTGTGGTGCAACCTCTCCTTATACCGCCACCACCGGTAATGCGAGAGCACAGCTGGTCGAGTTTGCTCGGAGCTGAAAAAACGCGCGATACCCCAAAGCGGTTCAACACTTTCTTGAGGTTGTGCGGCCTTGTGTGCATATACGGTACCACCTGAGGCCTCATTTTGCTTAGTGCCTTTTGCATCCTTCCCGTACTTGTACATCATTTTACTTTGTGAAGGGTGCCTTCTACCACATTCATTACGACCGTTAAGGGAAGCCCGCTGACAAACGTCTCGTCACTTGGTTGTTAAAGATTATCTGCATTATCTGCACACGACTTTCTGTGGGCCGACTCTAGGCATAGCATGGCGATAGTTATTTTTACTGCCTTAGAATGCGTGGAATCATACGGCATGAGTTCCTTTTGGGACCGTGGGAAATACAACCGACACGTGTGTCCTTCTAGGAACTTAAAACTTAAATCTAAAAGCTGTAGATTATCCTGCTTATGCAGTTCATGGGTAAAAGTTAATCATTTCTTATGGTGTCTAAAGACCTCCAACACTAAATTCACCTCTTCATCGTACGTAAAAGACTATCGTTCATGAAAAACTTTAAGAAAATCATCTATGGATGTAAATAGATTGTCACGGACGAAGATACCATTTACCACCAAAGCGAAATCCACAGCAGCCCCGCAGGCCGCACCGCACACGAAACTAGGTCAGCAAGCAGGCATTCCGGGATTGGCAACGGCTGGTGCGTCATCCGTCAAATCACCTGATTACGCTCCTACCGTTACCCGCGCACAGAGAACAGTCAAGTGATAAAGACACTTACGACTGCTTACGTGCAGGAATGCGAAAGCACTCCTACATGCGGCGCATTCCTACAAGCAGCGTGCCAGGTCTCCCTTTTTCACACGGCGCTCCGGCGGTGACATAACGCTCCTACTGCGCAGGCGCGGCGAATCCCGCCGGCTTCACGACGGCTTCCGTGACAAAGCATCCGCGTTGCTGTGCTTTTTTTTCTGTTTTATTTCTGAGGCCCGTGCTTGATGACGTAGTTTTGTGACCATCTTTCGGGGACAACGCAGCCACCTTTCAGCGGAGTGTGACATGTGCTTTCGCCTTCAATCTTTAAAAAAAAAACGTTAAAATCACTAAGAATATTTTTAACCGTTCGATCTGTTGCTTAAAATATCTTGCACAGTCTGGGGCTCACGCACGACCCAATGCAGATGCCTCTTGTTTTGTAGAAAAAGCTGCTTGTCCAGAGAAATAAAAGTGCTGCTAATGTGCGCCTGTTGTAAGGTTAGCAAGTTGACAACTGTCAATCCTGCCTTATTCTTCAATGGAAAAGCCATACTCAATGCATTGGCTGTCTTTGTAGAAATCAATAACCTCATCAGACCTTTTTTGTGGCAAAAGGGTCTGCCACCTTCAAGCTGTTCAAAGTGTCTAAAAGAAACCGACTGACATGTAGCTGCCAAGCGTCATTTTCACTCACAATTGTCTGAAGCGGTACATCCGGCTCATGAGTTTTTGTGGAAAAAAAACACACTTAACGCATCGTTTTTTGTTCTTCGAAATATTCCTCCCCAGCCTGTTCAATTATAAGCTTCTACAGAAATTGACGAAAGCTCTTTTCAGTTTTAAAATATAGTTGTGAGTGGCGCTTGTATTTCTGTGGCCTCTTCCTTCTGTCCGTTGTTCTTTACGCCTTACACTATGCTTCATCAGGAAAATACGTTTCTGGAGTTCTAATTAGTGTTAATAAGTTTTGCATTGTTGCGTTTGTAAACGCTCTGGGGAATATAGCGATATTTTCAATTGTTCGACTGAAACCGATTTTTTACGTTTTGCTGGGGGAACGAAATTTTCTGAATCTTTGAAATGTATATTCCAGAAAGCATGTGCATAATCGGAAACATCCTTATGTCCACTAGCGCAGATCAACTATTTTTTACTGCCGCAAAATTCGTTAGATTTAGAGGAACTCGAGCTCTAGTCGGCCGCCAAACTTTCAGTAGTGCTCTCTTTGTCTGTGAGTCGCACTATGACCACAAACAACAAACATTTTGGCAGGAACCCATACTGCGACCAAGCATACTGGCGTTATAGGTATTTGAATTAACTTTTTGTAGCTTATTTATTGATATTAGAACACGCTGCATCCATATTCGGCATTCCAACACACGACGCCAGTTGAAGATGTAAACGTGTTCGCCATCGTGTTATCACATTGATATTACAAAGTGTTTAATTTTATATCGAAGTGATATAAAAAAAAAGTGGGCTGATGGACGAGTGCCGTCTTTCCCTTGTATTTGTCAGGATCGGCGGACATTAGATCAGAAGATAATTATCATGGAAAGTTTGCTAATTTACTAAAATCTGTTAATTTCCTTATCTTTTTGATTAGAAGTTTTAAGGTCATGTTGGAATTGTAGTATTCATAGCAATTACTATTAGAGCCCAGAAAAATTTTAAATTTGCCTAAAGGTAATGTCTCTTTTAACTATAAGTCGATACATTTTCGCGCTCCCCTCTCCCCCTTCGCCCCGATTTTAAAATTTTGATTAAAAAGAAAGCTCTGCCTCTAACAACGCTTGGAAAAGTGACATAGTCGTTTCAATTATATCGTCACTATATCGACAGCGTATCCTTGGAGGGTGGGCAGAACGACAAAAGTGACGACATGACTGATACGACGTCCCTCTTCTAAGCGTCACTGGGGGCAGAGCTTCCGGCTCTCTTTTTGCGGGCAATATTTAAATGAGGCGCGAAACCTGAAACGTTTATTAATTCATATCTCATAATCATTACCTCTTTTAAACTGTTTAGTTGTCTTCCCTTCCATGGTTATTGGCGCCAATACAGCAATTCCAAAGTGACCCCTAAACTCAACAATTAACAACTTATTTAAAAAAAATCATAATTACATAGCATATCATGACGATTATCACCTAGTCTATGTCCGCAAAGCCCGATAAATACATGATAAAGACGTCACTTGTATAACGCTCATTACCTTTAAAAAATATATGTTCTAATTAAAAATTAAGCACCCTGTATAACCAACTTTTGCTCAAGTCGAGGCGTGAGTTTCAAATACCGAATGTTTCTGGTGGCATCATAGTGTCACGAATGAGAAGCAGAGATGGGGTTAATGAGGTATAAAACTAAACGTGTAATGGGGCGAACTTGCGTCCATACAAAAACAGAGGTATAGGCATCGCGGCCGTCGAAGGCGTCGGGGCAGCTGGATCGAGCGCCGGCGAAAGACTGACCACGGCTCGCCACGCGGAGCCCTTTATGCACACGCGTGGGCTTCTAGAACAATCGGCGTAGATGATTCGGCGCGAAGAACATTCGGACCTCGAATAAGCAGCATGGTTTTCGAATTCACCTGAACGCGAAATTTACAGAAATAACAAAAGGTGTCCCCTCCCAGGCATCAAACCTCGAACTGTTGCGTATAAGAACTGAGCGCACGGCATTTTTTTTTTAGCCGAGCGCACTGTTTATTTGGCTAGCTTCGCGCTCGGCAATGGTAATTTGTGTGTGTGTGTGTGTGTGTCTGTGTGTGTGTGTTTGTGTGTGTGCGCGTGCGTGTGCGTGCGTGCGTGTGCGTGTGTGTGCGCGTGCGTGCGTGTGTGTGTGTGCGCGCGTGCGCGTGCGCGTGTGTGTGCGTGTGTGCGCGTGTGTGTGTGTGCGCGTGTGTGTGTGCACGTGTGCGTGTGTGTGTGTGCGTGCGCGCGCGTGCGTGTGTGTGTACGCGTGCGTGTGTGTGCGCGCGTGTATGTGTGTTATATATACAGGGTGTTTCACGAAAGGTGGACAAAGTTCATATTGCGAAAACTAAGCATCGCACCAAAAAAGGCTTATGTCGTATTTGTGCTAGGCCAGGGGCCTATTAAGAAAAATTGTTACAGTTCGGGATAATCAAGTTGTTAATTATTTTCGCGTAATTATTTTTGTAAATGTTGAGTTTAAGGGCATGGTTTCCTTTGGAAACTTGATGAGCGTCATCGAAAAGCACCAAATAAAAAGATTGGTGTGCGATAGAAGGCACGCGCTGCATTTTACAGCTTTTTCAGAAGCCGAACAACCTCGACGGGTCTTTAAGTTTTGGTTTGCAATCGGAGAGCTTCTCGGCACCGACGCAACCGCGCCCCGCGGAGAATTGTGCAACCTGCTTCTCATGCGTTGCACGAGGAAAGCGAAGCAAATGTTAGTTGCACTATTTCTCCACGGTGCGTGGTGCCGTCGGTGCCGAGAAGCGCTCCGATTACAAACCGAAACTTAAAAGCCCGTCGAAGTTGTGCTGTTTTTCAAAAAGCTGTAAAATGCAGCGCGCACCTTCTGTCGCATTTCAATATTTGGTTTTTAGTGTTTTTCGATGATGCTCAGCAAGTTTCTATATGAAACTATGCCCTTAAACTCAATGTTTAAAAAATTAATTACGCGAAAATAATTCACAACTTAATTTTTGCGAATTTTAATCATTTTCCTAAATAGGCCTCTAGCCCAGGACCAAAGTGGCACAAGCCTTTTTCTGGTGTGATGCGCAGTTTTCGTGAAACACCCTGTATATACAACACTTTCAGATTCAATCTTGATGTAATGATACGATCAACAAAATTGACCGGTACATTTCCCGTACAAATTTACTTACTTTTCCGAAGAAGTCGGTAACTTTTGATAGCTGCTGTTCGTGAATTGAGAAATCACGCACGTTGAACGGTACCAGAAGAACCCGGGTTCCTTTCTTCTTGCCAATTTCTGCATTTAAGAGCAGCGAGTGGGGTTCAACACTGACCAAACATTACATACAGCTCTATGAACGAGCTGCCATCTGAACTTAAGAAATAAACTCTTAAAAAAGGAGTGCACAATACTTACTAACCAAAAGTTAATAACTGCTTGTCACAACATTCCCTTGCTTCTTAATGACTGTAGTAAGTAAATGTCGAACTAGTAACGTTATTAACTGAAGAAACTAGTAACGGTTACTGACCAACTTACTATTTACCACCAACTTTTGCTAGTAACTGGCACCAGCTCTCACAAGAGCTAGACTCTAAGGAAAAAAATAGTACTATTTTCTCACAAAAAAATGAGGAACAGAAGCGTCGTATATACTATCCCACAAAGAGACAAAATCTTCCCGTGCCTCGCACACCAAAGACAAACCTGATGGCGGGTAGTGTTTCGGCGCCTATGGCCACATAGTGTGATTGATGCAGCTTCCACCAGATGGAGCTCAAAAATTCAAAATAATGTCGGAACTGCGCCGCTTGCGTTTGCCTCGAAATTCGAGTTAAAGGTGCACAGACGTGCGGGAATATTCAATACACCGCACTAACATTAAGAAACAGAACAACACGCAAACAAAAGCAACAGAACAGCCAAGCCGATAACGCACTCTCCTTCTACGAATGCCAAGTTCACCCGATTGCTGTATTTGGCAGTTTTGAATTTTAATTCGCCTTGGCCGGTTACTGCCACATTTGCGGCATAAACACGTGAAGGATGACCAAATATTACTCCTACTTATTATTAATTTGATGTTTTCTGAGGGAATTGTGTATATCCTTAATCCAGTACCTTGAGAAAAGCCACAGTACTAATTTGATGAATCATGTTAGAAATGCAGTATTGACAGTGATTCTTCTTAGAGTATCTGGAAACTATTTGAGGTTCATTTATTATTCAGTTACCGGCACCATTATTTTTTTACCTTTTGATATTTTTACGTCGAGGCCACCCTTTTCAAATGTTCTGCGTTTATTTGCAACAAATACCATAATTATAGTGTAATTTAAAAGCCGGTAATTATTTTGCGCTATCAAGGATACTCCCAGCCTGCTTTATATCCAGGTATACCAGGCTATAAATGCATGCTATATGACAGGTTTTACCAGGTACAGTTTTTCAGGCACCACAGGTGGTTACTGGCTCAACCTTTCCAGCTAGTAAAAGCTACAGTTACAACCTGTAGCGCGTTCTATGTAGTAAATGGCTAGTTGAAAGGTAGTAACAGTCAGAAAAAGGTAGTAACTGCTTCAGTTACTAACTTTTTACTTGTTTTTCTTTCTGATTGCGTACTGGGTAACGCAAGATGAACACGACCGGCAGCATCTAGGCCGGGCGGCACAAAAGCCATGCTGGAGCCGCCGGGTGCGTTAAGCCTTGAGAAAAGGGGTCGAAACGTACTCCCACATTTCCTATTGTCGCAATGTTGCAGTCGGTTTCATGCTTTGCTTTCCTGACGCACCCTATGCGGCATTTTACCACTTTCGGCTATATCTAAACTAGGCCAGCTCAGAGTGCCGCCGAACGTACATTCGTCAAGGTTGTAGCCAACGTTTTGATAGTTTATGAGTGCGTGAGCGTAAGACCTTAAAAAGGGTCCTCGTCAGCCGAGCACTCTGTAGAAGGGGTACATTTTTTCATCAAATTTATTGTTAGTCAAATTCCAATGTCATACTTGATTTAAGAATTGATATTTATTTTGCTGTGACGATAACCGCTAAATTTTGTAAATTTCCGTTAAAAGAAGGTAAATCTGAAAAGCAGTAGTTTTATTTTTAACAATTTACCTCGTGTTTCATTAAACACAATATTGAGGGTTTGTTTGTTTTTTTGTTTTGTTTGTTTTGTTTTTGATAAGTGTGCATTTAGTAGCGGGTATGCTCCATGATAACTAGGACTCCCGGTTTTCAGATTTTATTCGTTGTAAAATTCGGAGTGTGTTTTTCAGAGTTTTTGCTCGTTAGGTATTCGGGGTTTATCGGCCCTACCGAAAAATCTAGTATAACTTTTTATTATCCCGATTATTGAACCGGAAATTTGTTTCTGGAAACCCAAAATCCAGATTGCAGACAAAGGAATAATTTCTGAAAACATCAAATCCAGATAGAGTCCAGAAAGAATCCAGATGGGGTTCCGGTTCTATAATCCGGATAGCGAAAAGTTATACTGAATTTTTCGGTAGGGGGAGTTTATTGTTTTTAGATTTCCAGTTGGCCAAAATTTGAAGCTTAGCGGTACATTTTTCTTATTTCAAGAAAAACTGATGTACGAAAAAAAACCGTAGACTGAATTCATAAAAAAAGATCACCGGTATCTAAATATATTTATGCAGCCGCATGTGGCGTTGACGCCCTTCGGATTAGTAGTACTAGCTGTCTTACTACGACAAATGTTGAAAACAAGTGTTATATCAATAAACGTTGGTACTTTGATATACTCAAACTCCTCGACGCAAAAAACCTTCAGCTGACCTCCCCATCCATAAAATCTGCACGTTCACATCGTTCAGTATGATAAAATTATGACCCCTACTCCTAACAAGCGCAAATACGTATGGTACAAGCTGGAAATCGTAAGAGTGGTATTTTCGTGATTCAGAACTACATTGGCCCAGTTACTGAAGGAACCTCTACGAGATAAACGGGACACTCCATTTTGTCGAAAGTGCTTGATAAAAAAAAATATATATATGACCTTTTTTCGGTAGCACTATTCTGCGCTCTGACATACTATGCGTAAAATACCGTCTTCTTTGCTTATTACTTTGCCATCAAGACATCGAAATTCCGAGTTTTCGGATAAATCAGAATTGTCGAAACTTTTACCGGCAAGTGTTTTTCGGAGTTTGTCTGATTTGTCGGAAAACACGGAACCCTCATTATAACCTATAGTAATAGTAATATTTATTCACAGGAAATATATACAAAAACAGTGATCTGGCCCACAAAAGCAGGGGTGTGCTTGTGTGTGGGGCCAGGCAAACGACGGAACGCATCGACATGAGGAAATCGGAATCAAATTGCACAACAGAAAAAAGGCACTTAGAAGTTATGCAGTTAGACATATTACAATTAATTCATTAAAGAATGACACCAGGTTTTACCATTACTCAATAAATACGTAATATATAGCACTCATATTTATAGGCACATTGCAAATCACTGAACCTACATTTGGTATATGTATTATTGTATGTAAACTGTTTAGCTAATGCATTTCTCTATATATGATGCTTTGAATATTTTCTCCCTCTCCATCACCATCGGTCACGCACTAAGGAACCGGACCTTGTCAAGCCAACAAATATTGACGTTTTTGTCCGTGGCTCCAACATTTGTTTATGCAGTTGCAAGGAAAACTATATAATTTCATTTCAGTAAAATATAACTTATAGTGTGACTTTACTTTTTTTTAGTTTTAACAGAATAAAATTACGCTGTTTATATTGCCGCGTAAATATGTCTAGGATTGTTAAAAAATAAATGTTAGGGATTTGCGGCAATTAAAAAAGACCAAAGTTATTGGAATTATGAAAGGGTCCAATTTAATTTTACTGTTATCTGTTATCACATGCTTCGTTAAAAAAAACGAGACAGTTGCACAGATGTTTGTCTTCCTATCTATTAAATGGAGGATTTTCTTCCACGCCGTGTTAGAAGAAGTTTTAGCTTCAGGAGAGGAAGAAAAAGCTATATGCCACTCTCTAGCTCTTTTTTTTTTTTAGTTGGACAGGAATATTGAAGGAATAAATAAAAATATGCTATTAGATATTCGTGAATTAAAATAAAATTCGCGAATGCTTGACCTGCTAAATGAGTCAACCAACCTTAATTCTCGTTAAAGAATTGATTCTAAGAGCGAATATGTGGAGGACAACTCAGGTGCCGCGCGCAACATTTTTGTGCAAACGGTAGGCGATCCGCGGCATGGAAACGCCGTACCGCCGAATTTGCTGCTCTTGGAGGAGGGCACTGCGTTTTCACACATAGCAATGGGCGGCTGGTGCGCTGGCCAGCAGAGGGCGTTGCGCGTATATCACTGGAACGCGTTTTAGTGCTCATTCAAGCGCCCCAGAGATACACGAGCGCAACGTCGCTGCAAAGCGATGTGAACGGAGGGGGGGGGGGGGGGGGGGGGGGTAGATTAAAACGCGACCCAGTGGGCCATTATTCTCAATTTTTAGTGGTGCTTCAAATTTTATGACATGGCATCGATCGCAAGGAGGCTGGCCACACGAAGGAACGAGAGGCCCGGAAATTCACCTTTTATCGTCCTGTCAGTAAATATTGACAGTTTTCGACGACACTTTCGCTTACCCAGACATTTCTCCTGAACTGAAGTGAGGTTCTTGACGTTGGTTCCTGACAGGGCAAGGTCTACCCCTACTTTGGCCAGGGTGTAGGCCAAGTGTTCTCCAATTCCACTGGACGCACCGGTGATCCAGATCACCTTGCCTTGTAGGGACTCTGTTGACGAGGGCAAAACGGTGACCGGCAGAAACAAAAGGGCCGAGAACATGAAATAGTTTTGTATGACACAATTGTAAGTTTTAATGATGTGAATAAAAAGGGCTGATGAAGCACTAACAGACAGGCGTACAGCCGGAACGCGCATAATTGAGATGTGTGCTACTTGCTGCTAAACGGCAGTACACAACATAGGTACCGTATGTCTCCAAAACATAATTTCGCTCTGTGGTAGGAAACTACCCCTCGAAAATTAAAAGAAAGAAAGAAGATAAATCTCAATCGGTACTCTACACTTCTGACTTCACATTAACTGTTGGTTCCGACCAAACGATTCGCTTCTCATTTTAGAGTGGTTGAACAAAGACACGGTGCACAACGGCTACTTGTTTTTAAAAAAAATTTAAACATGAAAATGTCAAGGATCATTAATGTAGTAATCGGCCATCGGCACATATTTCATGGCATGATGATCAACACGATCAGGAGGCGAATGATTTAATACTACCGAATTGACTTCTTAGCTTTTTAAATTAAGAGACCATATCCGATGAAAAAAATTGAAAGCTGTCATAACCAGTGTCCAGAATGTTTCTCACCAGAGATGCCGAGAATTGTTTCAAGCCTTAGGTCCGAAGATTTAACCAAGGAGTTTCAAGGGTCGAAAGAGTCAAAACTTCGAATTTATATTACTTTCAGAAAAATTTTACGAATCTTGAACTTCCAAATTTTTTCCCAGATAAATTACATTATTATTCTTCTCACTTTAGATAATGGAGCACTCAAAAATCTGGCATTTTTTACATTTCGAGCTTATGGACCTTTTCCTAAATTACCAGAACATCAAGGAGCATGCTAAAAATGTAAGTCTACGCGCCCCACGCGCTCGCCTTCCCCTTATAAAATATTCGATAAAAGAAACAAAAATAAGGCACTGAGGATCGTGCGTTTAAGATGTAAGTTGTTCATGTTTTGCTTTAGAACTCTTACCACTGCAGCCCCAGGACGTGCAGCGCGTGTAACTACGATCGCAGTGTGTTCCTTCGTGCTTGGGTAATTCAGCAAAAGGTATAGGCGCTTTCAGACAGCGGTGCATGGGTGCCACCATAACCGACCTTTAGTTTTTGTTTCCTCCTATTCCGTTGGCTTCATTTCATCATTGCCATAGCAGGACAGGTTATTGCCACTTTACGTACTAATGTGTCCTTCTGCTTAGCGTAGGCCTTTGTGGAGGCTCGTCAACGCCCACTTCAGTGACTGGGCATCTCGGTAAGACGAGAGAAGGTCGGCAATGGCGACTCAATCTGGCGCTTGCTTGTAGCGTGTATATTGCGTTGACACATTTGGCGATTTTTGAACTTTGAAACCCCTGAAGCTGAGTACTCGACAAACTTCAAACTTCTTGTAATATAGAGATCATTGTTTCATAATACAACAACGCCGCTGTTGCATGACGGGCAGGCCTGACAGGCATGTAAACTTTGACGAGCACGAGCTGAGCTCGTACTCCTGTGATTCAATCATCGGCAACCAGCCATGGTCGTTGAAGAACCCCAGTTCCCATTAAACTAGTACGTTTCCGCTAGGTCCGGACAACGGGCAAGCGTCCGTTGCCCGGACCCCGAGGATGGCTGTGGGCGGTATCAACGAGTATCGCCTCAGCACCAACGCTTCATGGGACCAGTACGTAGAGGGACTCGAAATGCACTGCGTAGCCAACAGCCTGATAACGCCTGAGCAGAAGCGTGCCGTCCTGCTGAGTTGATGCGGCGAAGAAACGTACTCCTTAATCGTCACCTTGGTAAAGCCGACGAGACCGACAGCTGCAGACTATACCCCAAAAGTGACAGCGGTCAAGGGTCATCTGCACCCAAGACCATCGGAACTGTGCGCAAGGTTCCTCTTCTACAAGCGCGACCAGCACCCGGCGAGATAGTTGCAGACTACGTGACAGCGTTTCGAAAGCTGACAGAAGACTGCGGTTTCGGAGATAGACAACTGCCACTTGAAATCATAATGCGGGACAGGTTCGTCTGCGGCCTCGCGCCCGAGAGAGTGCAGCAACGGCTTTTGGCTGAACGCAACTTGACGTCCGATGTAGCCTACGACTTGGCTGTCGCTGCAGAGGCAACGTCGCAGCAACAGCAAGACATCAGGAATCAAAGGCAACAGAGCGGTAAAGTTGACGCTGATGGTGAAATATAAGCGACAATGATGAAACCTCAGAAGCAAGCATACAACGGAAACTGCCACCGTTGCACCTGTAAGCACAAAGCTTTCCTGTGCAAATTTAAAGGTTTCGTCTGCTGCAAATGCCAGACGAAGGGGCATATAGCAAAGGCAGGCCAAAGTAAGACCGCCACAGTAGCGAAAGGAAGGGACACAAAGGGAGACAGCGTTTACGAAGTAGACGAACTCTTTTCAATCTGCGAGGTACACAAAACCGAAGAAAGGATTCTGGTGCCAGTAAATATAGAGTCACAAGAAGTAATCATGGAAGTTGATTCTGGAGCGTCTATTTCTATCATGAGCGAAAAAATGTTTCGCCAGATACACAGGAGACTGATTCCCATCGAGAGTACAAACACCAAGTTGTTAACCTGGTCAAAAAACATTGTCTACAGTTGGCAAAGCAATGGTAAGCGTCATGTTTAAAGTACACAAGGCGGTTTTACCAATCACGGTCGTGGCACAACACGGAAAACGTTTGATGGGACGAAACTGGTTTCGACCGCTAGGAATTGAGTTACACGCCATCCGACAAGTCACTACTACCGACGAAGCGCTAACAGCGCTGTTTTCAGAGGTTTTTCACACCGATTTGCTCGGATTCAAGGGGTCTCCGATCCACATCGAGCTCAACGACGTGCAACCCAAGTTTTTAAAGAGCCGGCCGGTGCCGTTCGCCCTTCGAGAGGATGTGACCAAGGAGTTAGACCGCCTGAAGAAGCAAGGCATCCTGGAGCCGACCCAGTACTCCGACTGGGCCACACCGCTGGTCGTGGTGCGAAAGAAAAAACATAACTTTACGCCTGTGTGGTGCTTATCGTAGCACAGTTAACAAGGTGGTTAAGAACAACGTCTATCCACTACCCACTGTCACCGAGTTGTTTTCCACTCTAGGGTCAAGTAAGATATTCACGAAACTAGACCTAGCCCAGGCCTATCAGCAGCTCATACTTGATAATGAGTCATCAGAAGTCCTCACCGTGAATACGCTGAAACGACTGTACAAAGTTGGCCGACTTCCTTTCGGTATATCTCTCGCACCAGGATTGTTCCAGTGTGTTGTAGACAGCTTACTATCAGGTATATCCGGAGTTGTCGTGTATCTCGACGATATCGTTATCTCGGGCTCGACCGCGGCGGAGCACGAAGGAAGATTAAGAGCAGTCATGCAGGGGTTGCAAGACTCGCATTGACTTGTGACTTGTGACTTGTAAACAAAGACAAATACGAGTTTTGTAAAACAATCATAGAGTAATTGGGTCACAGAATCGATTCCGCTGGCATTCACCCAAGTGGAGAACACGTGACTGCAATCACGAACGCGCCGAGCCCAAAAAACAAACAAGAACTACAAGCTTTTTTTGGGACTAGACAATTACAACAGATTTCTCGAAGGAAAAGCTGAAGTTGCCGAGCCATTGCATCGCCTTCTCGACCAAGAAAGAAAATGAGCGTGGACGCAGGAGCATGAGAAAGTGGGCCAGAACCTAAAAGTGCTTCTCAGCTCTGACGCAGTGCTATTACGCTACGACCCAGCGCGTTCACTGGTCTTGTCGTGTGACGCTTCAGCGGTTGGTGTTGGTGCAGTTCTTTCTCACAAGAACGATGATGGTACAGAAGTGCCAATAGCTTATGCGTCACGGACATTGAGGCGAAGTGAGCGCAATTACGCTCAAATCGACAAAGAAGGTCTTGCCGTAGTTTATGGTGTTAAGCACTTCCACCAGTATCTCGCAGGAAAAGAATTTTAGATCGTGGCCGATCATAAACCGCTTCTTGGGATTTTTTACAAAGAGAAGCCAATGCCACAGATCCTGTCACCGAGGATGCTGCGGTGGAGCTTGCTGCTGTGAGCGTACACTGTAGCAAAAATAACACGCCTAGACGTGTAAACCGTTGTCCCATAGCGGACACGTCGAAACGTGTTCATTTTACACGCAGCCATTTGTGTTTTTTGTCTACACATGAGGTGCTGTGTAAACTTAACACGATACACCGTGTTCTTCTTCCGCTAAGCACGGCTGAGCGTGTTGGCTGAGCGTGCTCATAAAACATGGTGGCCAGCAGCCGAAAACGGGCGAGAGACGAGCCCAGCGAGCCGCGCTCCATTTAGTTGAATTGAGAGCACACAGGACGGCGTTTGTTCTCGTTCGATGCCTTTTATACACACTAAACAGTCTCCAAGCGGCGGACGTAGCTACGCGCAAAGGTACGTACGTGCGTCGTCGGCGGTCGGCGGCGTCGGTAGCTACGATCGAGCCGCTAGACAGAAAAGCGAACTTAAATGGACAAATAACTCGAGCAAACTATTTGAAATCGGGCGGTAACTTCCGCCACCTAGCGGGATCTCTAGCAGTCTAGAAAAAAAAAACAAGTTTGTTAATACGCTACGACCGATCACAGGTGGACACAACTCTACATACATCACAGACATCACCAGTACCATGTATTACACATCACCGACATATACACAAACACAACACCGAACACTGCGCCCGACACTTCCTACTCAACATGCTTCTCTCTCCGCGGCGTATATAAGCTTGACATGTGCGGGTGAGCTCTTTAGTCGCTGACCGTTACAGATTTATAGAAGAAGACGCAAAACACGGCGCAATGGACAGCCGTATGTAAGAACTGTTTGCATTTAAAAAGTATGGAGGCAAAATCTATAATGTTAGTCAGTTGCGAAGAATAACGATGTATTGACGATAAATCCTAAACCGGCCATGAAGACGTCCAAATTTTTGTTATTTTCATGCTAGACCAGT